AATAATTTTTTAATATTTAAGAATTTCATAACAATGTTAAATAATTATATATTTTAAACTAACACTAATTAATAAAATATTTAACATAAAAGAGAGAGGTGACATTTCCACTCTTTGAAAACCACCTTTTTGCCTTTAATTTTTTTAAAAAAATAATGATACAAGACATGTGATTTTTTACATTTGTTAGGAACATCATCTTTATCTTTTAAATTAATGTTTTTAATATTTCATTATTGTATGATAAAATCATAATACTTACTATTATATTTGTTCATGTTTTTAAGGTAAGTAATAGTTGTGTAAATATCATTATATTTCTTGTATTATATTTCCTATAATTATAGTAATAATTAACATCATTATATTAATTATTCAAATTTATATATAAATTTTTTTTGAATGAATTAGGTGGTGTTTGTTATTGAAATGGCACTTTATTATTCGCAACTACAAGCTATGACATTTCATGTAAAATATGCTACCTTTTATTATTTTACTAAAATTATAAATAAATGAATAATTGATAAGCAGTGGCATTTGATATATGAAATGTCACCAAAGGTCTTCTAGTTTTAATCTTAGTGGCATTTCATTTTTAATTACTATAAAATGTATGCTACTAAATTCTATTTCTATAGTGGTGAATTAATGAGGAATTAAATTCTTAATTAGTTCCAAAACATGAATTCTTTCCTTGCATTCATTGTGATTATGAGGGCAAATTATGATAATTGAATTTTTTTTTTCACGGCAGGAGGCAGATGATTGAAGGAAAAACTCATTCCAAAACGAGCACCTCTTTCTTAGTGTTTTTTCCTTCACCTCCCTCTCTTTCTCTCTCTAGTGCATTTATTGTGCATCTTACAAAGGACTCTAGTAGTTTGATCTTGTGTGGGTAGTTATATAGACCCCACAACACCTAGATTTGATAAGATTCTAACTTCCTTTTTTGGTATATTATTTATAATATTCCTTTGTCTATATATATATATAGGGATACCACTTTTAATTTTAAACTTTGTATCAATTATCATTTAATCCTTAAACTTTGACCCAATACTATTTAGTCTTTGTAGTTTATTGTGTTTTTCTTGTTATAGGGATTGAGTTATATCGAGTTAAGAAATCATAGGGATTAAGTTAATTCAAGTTAATAAAAAACTATAGGAAATAAATTATTTTGATTTAAAATTTAAGAACTAAATAGATAATTAAGAAAAAAAGTTTAGGATTAAAAGATATTTTTCCATAATCTATAAGAAAGCATTGACCATAGAGATTGAATAAGGTTTAAATATGTAGATAATGAGAGTATCAATTGAGTATAGACATATTTGAGGTCTGTTATATTTGAAGAAAGAAGTACGTGTTTGGTTTTTTAACTTCATGCTTGACATTTTTCTTATCTCTTAATTTTACAAAGTGTGTTTTCAATCATTTAACCAACATTGAACCCTTAAATGTACATTGACAAAATATTATGGAATTAATGTTCATATATTAAGTTTAATTATGCTTTTTCAAGTAAAAATGATAGGTACAAAGAATTATTATTTGATAATAATAGTGTTAAAATAAGAAGATTGAAAATATACTTTTTGAAATTAAATAATCAATTTAAAATTTTATATAAAGTCAGAAGATTAAAAGTACATTTTCACCCATTCAAAAATTATCTAAGATATTTTATATTTTATATATGAATTCATTAAATCTTATGATATATTTAGTATGTTGGAATTCAGGTGAGAGAAATGAAATTAGAATTGAAATTGAAATTAAAAAAAGAGATAGTTTGGTACATTGAAACCTAATTTCTCATGGGACCCACTTCCATCAAATTTGATGGAATTGGGTTCCATAAGTAAACCCATGCAATTGAAATGACTTCTTTAGAATTGAAATTTTTTAGACAACAATACCACAAGTTATAAAATTTCTTGACAACATTGCCCCTTGCCCTAATCAAGAGAACCTAAACCTGCACGATCAAAAAATCAAACACCCATCCTCACCACTTTGAACACTCTGGTCAAAGAGCAAGCACACATAGATCACGGTAGAGGAAAGTGGTCATCGCGTTGAAGCATAGAGTTCGATGATAGTGAAGGTAACTTTTCCTTTGTAAATTTCCTTGAATATAGCATGGCATCCTTCCTCTCTAACCATTGCTCACAACTCTCAATCTCATATTCTAAACTCCAACCGTAGCTATGAATTAACCCAAAATTCTTTTCTGAGATGACTTCACAGGACCAGTATGGTTGTGTCTTTCACTACATCTAAAATAATATTTTTGAGCCCTGTGAAAGTAAGTTGAACTATATTTGAGATGAGTTCATAACCATAGCTGCGTCCTTTGCCACATCTGAAATTATATTCTAGAATAATTAGTTCTTTGCAAGTTAATATGTTGATATCGATTCATGTATTCAAGGATAGCATAGATACATAGGTTAAGCACGTGCTTTGTTCTTGAATTTGAGGAAAGCATAATGCATTCAACATAAATAAGAATAGCATAACCCATGTTATGGGACTTGTTCTTGATTTATATATATTCAAGGAAAAAATATAAATAATTGTTTGACCAAAAAATGTATCCAAGGATGCCATAGTTACATAGTGAGCTACATGGGTTAAGCATGAGTCTTGTTATTAAAATTCAAGGAAACTATCATGTAGATATTTAATACCCTGTAGTTCTCTCTATTGTCTATGCAATCCCAATTTCATACCTCAATTTACATTTCTAAGAGCTTGATTGTTTGTTCTTACATAGTTTATGAATCCTAAAACAAACAAGCTAATTGTACATATGTTGGTTTGGTAGTTAAATGTTGTATTTTCTTTATATTAGTGTTTTATGAGCGTTTGTATCACTATTTCCATGCATAGATGATGAATTTGTCCTCAGCCATACACTATGGACTTTTATATGCCAGGAGAGTTCACCTTCAAAATCTAGTGTACAATAGTGATTCAACTTGCTTTAATCAAATTAGAATGAATAAAGCTCCTTTTGACAAGTTATGTATTACGCTTGATATAAGAGGTGGTTTAAAACTAACCAGAAATTTGTTAGTTGATAAAAAGTAGCATTGTTTTTCCACATTCTTGGTCATCATATGAAGAATAGTGTTGTACAATTTTATTTTGGAAGGTTTGGTGGAATTGTAAGTCGGTATCTTAAAATGGTCTTGATTGCTATGATGCGCTTGAGCGAGGAGTTATTTAAGAAACCTGAACCAATTTTAAAGAATTCAATTGACAAGTGGTGGAAGTGGTTTAATGTGTACTATTGTTTATCATATGATTATGTGAATTAATTTTATCACCAATTTGATTATGCCTAAATGCCTGGTTGTATGTTTATGCAAAATTGTTTAGGTGCTCTTGATGGTACCCATATTAGAGTAGAAGTTTCCATTGCTGATAACATAAGATATAGGAATAAAAAAGGAGAAATAACCACTAATGTTCTTGGTGTTTGCTCTCCTAATGCACAATTTATATGTCTTCTCTAGCTGGGAAGGATTAGCTACTAATGGGAGAGTTTTAAAAGATGCACTTTATAGAATAAATGAAAATTTAAAAGTGCCTCAAGGTTTTATTTATCACTATCTATTGCCTTAATTGATTTTTTATCAATGTTTATTTTCATATGGTAACTAATATATCTTATTATGCAAGATAATATTATTTAGTAGATGCTAGATATACAAATTGTGAAGGATTCCTTCCACCTTATCAAGGTCAACAATATCATTTGAATGAATGGAGAGATAAAAGATACTGCATGAATGCTCATGAATGCTTCAATATGAGGTATGCTTCAACACACAATGTCATTGAGTGTTGCTTTGTGATGTTAAAATTACATTAGACTATTCTTAAAAGTCCTTCATTCTATCCTATTCGAACTCATAGTCAAATAGTCATAGCTCGTCACCTTTTACATAATCTAATACGTCGACAAGGGTATAATCCCCTTCAGGATAGTTTTAAAGAAATGGATATGGATACATCTAACATAAATGTTCCACCTATTTTGACAATTGAGCCATCTAATGCATGAAGCAACTTTCATGAGAGATTAGCTAATGAAATGTTTGTTGACTTTACACCACTACAAAATAAGCTTATAGAAGTGCTTATTTTTAGCTTATAAGAGCACTTTCAAAGTGCTCCTGTAACCAATGCTCCCATATATACAAGAGCGTTTATAAAGCACTCTTATAGGTAGGTTAGATCTATAGGAGTGCTTTTGTAAAAAACGCTCCCTTAGGCCTTTGATTTTAAATATAAAAAAAATATATGAGAGAGCTTTATTATTAAGCGCTCCTGTAAAAAATATATAGGAGAGCTTTATTATTAAGTGCTCTTGTAAAGCACTCAATAGGAGTGCTTAATGAGGAAAGCGCTCCTATATGTCTTACATGCTGGAGCGCTTAATGGCTAAACGCTCTCGTTCATTGATCTTACAAGAGCACGTCTAAGTAGAAGCGCTCCCATATACAGATTTTAAAAAAATAATAATAATCACATAATATTTTTTCCTAAACATTTTGCGCCCATAACTAAAAGCATATTAGAGCTATCTAAACGGGGAAAAAAGCATATTAGAGCTATCTAAATGGAAAAAAAAAAAGCATTTTAGAGCTAGAAGGCATAGTAAATTATTAATTTTGAAAAATATTTGGGGACATCCATCATTCTATACAAAGCACAAGGGATACAAGAAATATATAATCCTATGTGAATACATTTACTTCACTATGATCCACTAAAACAATCCCCTGTAATTTAAAATTAACTAGAAATATATACACACACGTGTGTGTCAAGGAGAAAGGAAAGGAGCTCGTGTAACAACAGAATATTCCCTAAAGGTAATAAATGAAATCAGCTACTACACAATGTTGAAGTGACAAGCCTTTTAATTGATGAAAAGATGATTGAGACGTAGCCACTAAATTGTTGAGCTATTTTGGATAGAGATGTAAGCAGCATATATATTAAAATTGTAACTCAAGATAGTTCAAGAGATTCAAAATATTTCAAACAAGTTTGGTGCCTCAAGATCACAGTCATAGTTAACAAAAATGTCAACAGTAAGCATCAGTGAATCCTTAGTTTCTCTAATACCATACAGAGCCACACTTGATTAGATAAATAATTTGCTTGAAGTGATGGTAACCAGCCGATTGTTCTCAAGTTCATCCTTAAAATCTGCAAAACCCATTGAATATTGTTGCAATCATTTTGGCCAAATTCCAATTAAAAGAATTACTAAGCAATAATTCGTGGCTTTTATCAATTGTGTTTAGATTTGCCATGGAAGGCAATATAAACCAACGCAAAGCCCCATAATTTCCAACATCAGCATGCTGAAAAATGATTCAAGTAGGAAAGTCAAATAATTATTTTCTTAATGATAATAAAATATTTGAAACTTGGGGAGTGTTGTGAAAGATTATATATTTGTATGCCTAATACCCGTACAATATTCATTTGAATGAATACTATGATTCTATTCAGAGAAGCAGAACAAAGAACTTGGCTATATTGCTTATATTTTATGGAGAAATGATATCAAATGAAATTACACAATGTATACCTTTTCGCAAGCCAATCACACAACTTCAATTTGCATGCCCTACATGTCATCCTGCTACAGTTCACAATCTGCACAACTGCTCATGAAATTTAACTAATTAATTATAGCATTATATTATTTGTATTTATCTTCCACATATATATAAAATGAAAGCTTTGAAATCAAATATTTGTTCTCTTCAAGATTAAAAGTACCACACATATATATAATGAAGGAATGAAATAAATATACTCTCTATTATTTATAACTTTCTAATAATAGATACTGACAGTAGAAATCTCATCTATTATAAAGCATCAACAATTTAATAGTTAATACTTCTATTAAGTATATATCTAGATATAAATAAAACATAAAATGAGAAGGCTATGGAGAAAGAATATTGTAACTTTTTCTCACATGAAAGAAATAAACTCAAAAATAAAATTATACAAAAAAGCCCTAAGCACAAGGAAAAGAATGGGAAATCACCTTGTCAATTATACTTTCAATAACATCATCTGATGAGTTCATACCAGATTCAGCAAGTGTAGCTATTATCATTTGCTTCACCTTTATAGAAAATGTTAAATCAAACTCAAACTTGTTCCCATTGAGGAACATAAACTGGGACAATTTTAATATAACCCTGCAGTAGGAGATTTTACTATTTCTAGAAAACTCTGCAGCATAGGTGTAATCATATAGAGCACATGGGACCATATGTTAGCTCAAATTATTATAGAAATTGTGGGACACGTGAGACCATATGTTTGCTCAAATTATAATAAAACTTGTTTTAAAATTATAAAATTTACATTAGAAAGAGGAAAAGACATCAGGGACGCTTTCAGCCACTTTGCAATTCTACTGCCATTGAAGTTGCTTTCAAAAATCCTAAATTGTAACGTAAGTTATCTTGTTATCTACACAGTCACAAACCAAATTAGAAGTCCAAGCATTTGATGAATATAATATTTTTTTTAAATTACTATCCTTACTCTCCCTCTCATCCTTACAAAGATAGCTACAAGTTCTTCCAGCAGCTCCTCCAAATGGCGCAAAGGCTGTGATATGAGGGAGTTTTCAAAAAAAAAAAATAAATAACAGTATAGTAGACAGGGGGAATTAAAGAACAAAATAATAACAGTAAAAAGTAATTAATGTTCGATTAAAGCTTGAATCCTCATGTATTATGGACAAAATCCAATTTCTGAAGAAAAAGAGATACTTGGACAAACACTCATCCCTCCCCTGCCTCTCAATCCACCATCCTCTTCTTCCATATTTCAACATTTTGGTACCTGTCATTAAATATAATATATTAAAATATAGCTCATGATGTGTAGACAATCTCAGAAACATCAAAATATAATTAATTATTCTATCATTATAGCTTAATCATGCTTCATAATCACTGTAACATCAATATATACATATACATTAAAAAAATACCTTGTTGAAGAGACGCAATAAATAGGAACTGGAAGGGGAGGAAGACGCGATAGCAACAAACCATAAGAGCAGGAGATCGATGGCAAGAACGGCGCAAACCCACGGCACCACAGCGGAAATCGATGGCAAACTAATATTAATTAAAAAAAATGAAGAACGACACTTACCAAAGTCCTGACACAAAAGAGGTAGAGAGAAGAAGGAACGGTGCAGAATAGTAGCTTAGCAACGGTGACTTTGCAGCAGCTCAGATCTACACAGATCTGCAGTTAGATGCAGACAATTTGACGCAGCAGCTTCGCAGACAAATTGATGCGATCGCCGACAACTAAGCTTCGTGATGACAGCGAATGACTTTGGACTGGTCGATCCTAAATAGACAGTCGTGATGCCGAAGGGCAATCGTCGAAGGTTGCGAGAAGGGAGAAGTAGAAATTGATAGTCTCGAAAATCTGATGGAATGGAATGGTAGGGTTCGATCAGCTTTATGATGACTTAAAAAATAATAATAATAATAATACAAGACAATCCCATATGTAATACTCGCCGGAGCGCTTGTACCAAAAGCGCTCCACCAAGCTTATATATTGTTTTAAATTTTTTTCAGTAAATAAAATGGAGCACTCACTGCCTCGTTAGATGTCAATTTTTTTTAAATTTTTCACAGGCAGCCAAATGGAGCGCTTTGGATAAAGCACTTCGATATTTTTAAAATTCTTTTTAAGTGTAACTTATTGGAACACTTTTGCATAAACGCTGTGCTAAGATTTAATTGTTGTTTTTTTAAAATCATGGTATACTTATGTATATAGGTACAACCATTAATAAATATCATAACATCCTTATGCCATAACCTATATGGCACCTTAGTGTCCAAATAGTAGACTGATTAAGTGTTCCCCTATTACATATAAACTTAGCCAATAATAAACTTCTATTTGCTTGCAAGGCACTCAACTTATACCTTAACATTTCCTTTATTAGTCCTATTAGTGCCTAAAAGGTTAGTCAGAGGGAGTGAGGTTCGGGAATCTCAATAGCAAACTATATAAGTGAAATACTTAAAGCATGATATACTTTTATTAAACATTTAAATCCATGTAGATAAACATCATAATCACAGTATGGAAAATTGCATTGGTCAAGGAATCCAACATAACATCATCGTCGTCGTTGTCGTCATCATCATCATAAACATTTTATGAATTTAATATTCATAATTATACATGGAAAGTATATCATCTTATAACATACAAAATAAATACAAAATTTTCGTAGTAGTTTTCTACATGTCTTAGTTTCTTTCTCGTAAGCCTCTAACCTCGGGTTATGTTCACAAGTATCAAATCCTATCATGAGAATTTAATAGTAAGGTTAACATTAACATAAAAAAATTTTAGTAATTAAAAAATACACCCTAATCTACCCTAGCTAAACTTAGGAACTAAATTAGTTGACCTACACTAGCATACGGATACTTGACTGTACCATGAGATTAAACATGACATTAAAAGTTTAACTCAAAATAGCATTTGACTTGAAATCACATGGCTTTAAGAGAAATTTCTCTCTTAATACTATAACTTCATTAGCATTTTTACATACATTTCAAGCTTGTCATGCTCTAGGTGATTAGATTGAGTATCATTCATTAATAGTCCACAATTTAATAACACATAAGTAACATATCTACATTCTTTAACATAGACAAAATTTAAGAAATCATAAACTTGTCCTCATGCTCTCAACCAAGTACTTGTTCCTTAGGCCTCTTAAAATTCTTATAGGACTCATACATCAATTTGCATGCATTACATTAACTTTTGAAGCCATGGAAAGATAAATTTTAACTTCAAGTCAATGCTAGCACATGTCATGTACTAACCTCATGTACTTGGTGAACATACTTGCACAACTTCCCTAGACCTTTAGAATACTATTCATGAGGTTTCATAATTTAACTTTATTGTAGAACCTTCATGACTCAGTGTCCTTAGATCATTCATCTCAAAGGAAGCTTCATCTTGACTTCTTTGGCCCATCAAGACTAGCTTTAGGTGGCATCAAGTGCCCTTAAAATTCAAGCTTAGTCTAGGTCCAATTATGAAACATAAAGCCTATTAACTTTAGACTTGGAAATTCTCAAAGTTTCTTCCCAACTTGGATGTGCTAGAAGGGCCCAAAGAGCTGCACACTACGTCAGGACCAAAATATGAATCAAAAGATGTTAAGAATCTTCAAGACAAAGATAAATCTATGGAACAGCCCTTCACACCCTTAGTGATTAAAAAAATATATCTAAAAGAGATGCTAAAAAAACTAAAAAGCTAGATGACATTTCCCCAAGCATAAGAAAATATTCAAGATTTATAACTAAAGAAGAAGAAGCCCTAGTTGGGGGAAAAAATTTCTAACAACTTAGAAAAAACTCATACAACATAACAAGCAAAATAAGTCATACTTTGAAAATCTTCTATGGAATAGAGCCATTAAAGAGATGAGAGTTCAAAAAAAAAATATAAAGACATAATTAAGTATTATCTTTTTAAGTCTGTACCTTGAAAATGATAATGTATATTTGAATATTCTATTTTTCTAGACTTTGTGTTTTGTCATATTATGTTGTTTGAAAATATTTAATTTATTAAATATGAAGCATGTTAATTTTTATGATGATTGATTTTTATTTCTTTATATATGCTTTGTTGAGTTGGAGCTCTTAAATGATGAGTCCTTTAGGAGAAAATACAGTGATTATGAAAATATTTGTAAAATTCTTTATAGATGATAGTAATTTTATTAAAATCAATGTGATGGGAGATATAAAGGTAGCCTCCTAATTGTTGACCTAATAGTGTTGTTATCACTCTAGTAAAGAATAATACAAATATAATACATTTTATATTTCTTATAAATATTTCATTCTTAGTTTAATATAGAAAACTATTGATGTGGAATAGTTTCATATCAAAACTAAGAATGGAAATAAAAAAACATTATCGCTAAATTGAACAAAGGTGATAAGTTAAATAGGGACTTTTGGGACATATGGCACTATAAGGTGTCATATTTTAGAAGAGCAGGATGCTGTTGAGCTACTGACTGTGATCATGGTTGAGCTTGAAATAGGAAACTTTGCTCAACATAGAAGAGATCACGAGATAAACATAGCATGAAACTAAAGAACAGTATCGCATAAATAACACATTTAATTGTATGGCTAATAATCTGATGTGCAAATTTGAGAAGCACTTCACAGCCTAAGCCATATAACCCACCTTAAAAGAAAAGTTTAGGGGTACCTCAACCACTAAACTAAAAAGGCTAACAATTTAGTTTGACGCTTATAAGTTGAAGCTAAATACTCCTATATGACAACACCTTAGAGAGATGGCCAACATACTCCATGAACTTAAGGAAGCAGGCACGATTTGTCCAATGACTAGCTAATGCAAGCTATAATTAGATCACTCCTAACTAGTTAGGAGCATATCAAAGTTAACTTACCCACAATGAAAACATCATTAATTTTAACAATGTGGCTAAGCACATGGAGCTAGAGGACAAGCATCTAGAGGCTTACTAGTCATCTAATAGGCTTAACTTGTCAAGGAATGCAGCTCTTTAAATGCTAAGCCTAAAAGGGGCAAGGAGTAATAAAAGAAGGGTGACAAGAGTGGCTCTAAGGTAAAGAAGGACAAACAACCTTTTAAGAAGAACTAAAAGAAGGGCAACAAAAAGAAAATAATCCTATAGAAGGTCAAATACTTCACCTATTAGAAGATGGGCCATTTTACAAAGGATTGTCCTGAGCAAAGTGGACGCGATCAGGTACTTATAAATTATGTGAATTCATATTTTTGTTATGTTTCTAGTAATATTTTTCTAACAAACACCAGTACAAAAATAACTTTTTACAGCGGTTAAAAATGACTTTTTACAACAGTTAACGAGACGATGTTGTTCCAGGGGATGTAAAAAGTCCCTCTTTTTACATCGGTTATAAACCTGATGTAAAAATTAAATTTTTTACATCGGTTATAGAGCTGATGTTGAAAGTTATATACAAGAAAATTAAAAAAAATTTACTTTAACTTTTTACACTGGTTGGGACTGGAACCGGTGTAAAAGGTACACTTTTTACACCGGTTATGTTGGGACTGGAACCGGTGTAAAAGGTACACTTTTTACACCGGTTATGACCATAACCGGTGTAAAAAATATTATATTCTACAACGGTTGTGGTAATAACCGGTGTAAAAAGTATTTTATTTTTTTATATTATATTTATTTTATCGATTTTACCCATTCCTGTGCATAGAAATTGCCAAATCAGACAGCTCAATTAATTTACAATTGTTTATCAAGTATTTATCAACTATACAAAGCTATTTAACTATTAAAAAAACTAATAATTGTCTAAATTGTCAAAATTGCCATTCCTGTGCATAAAAATTGCCAAATCAGACAGCTCAATTCATTTACAATTGTTTATCAAGTATTTATCAACTATACAAAACTATTTAACTATTAGGAAAACTAATAATTATCTAAATTGTGTCAACTATCAAAATTAAAACATGTCTAAAAGTAACAAAAAACCTCACAAGTTCTCCACAAAATAGGTTGCCCAACGTATGCGGATGTCTTCAATTTCAGCTTCAGAAAATGCATCCGAATTGTCGAACATCTAAAATTTAATTCATAAAGTAGGCATATTAATCAATTTCAAATAACATAATAAAATAAAATTTTTAAAAATATATATATTTACCTCTTTTGTAAATTCGGTCATGCCTAATGTGATAATATTGAGCATGTGCCTCATGATATATAGACCGCACAAGTTCGTCCTCATCGGTTGTCTATGACTCTATATAAGAACAAATCATAAAAAATTAGTAAGAAATCTTAATGGTTGAATATATTAATAAAGTATAGCATCACCTTTGGCTCAATCCATGTGGGATCCTTGAGCTCATGTCCATGCTTTTATAAGACTACATTTTGATATGTTCTCATTGCCCTATGATCAAGATTACCAAGTTAGTAAAAATATTAAAAAAAATTAAATTAAATAGTTTAGTAAAAGCATTCTTACAAGTCTCTCTTCAAGTCTATCGTTTCTTCATTTCCCAAGTTTGTAATGGAGGGAGCATAAAAAGACGACAATGTTGCTCTTCATTGAAAGAACAAATAACTGCCAATGGTCCCTGCTAAATATGATACAAGTTAAAGTAAATCCATATTAAAAAACTATTAATTATAAATTGATCCTTACGAGTGCACATATGGAGCCATAAAAACGTCCTTTTTGACTTCACATATTCTCTGTTGGAGGTACGCGGCCCTTAACTCTGGAGTATTACCTTTCTCTGTCATGTGATGAGGGCAAAGGAATCCAAACTTATCACCTTTGCCCGATATAATGCACAAATGATGAAGATACCTACAACAATGCAATTATATTAGTTTACTAAACTTGATGATTAAGTTTACTTACAATAATGCAATTAT